CTCATTTCCGTGCTTCTAAGATGCTAATTATGCAAAATGCGAATGTGTTTACTTGCGCTTCTGTTCAGTTGTACACAAATACTATTACTTTATGCTAACCACATCTTTAAGCTTTGATGTCTCTTTTGTTGCTGTACACGAGAGACATTATATTCCTGTTAATAAACTGTAGTTTTCTACTAAGTATATGCACCATTCTGTTTTCTCACTAAATAATATGGAAAGCAGTTTTTAATCATACAATATTTAAGTGAGCAAGAAATTTCCAGATAAAGATTTGATGTTTGAAAGTAGATGATAAATTTGTGTATTGAATGAAAGTGTCTTCATTCTCTTGAGAAAAACAAGCTTTATACAACATAAAATTTGGGTATTACCATTATCGCTTTACATTTGTTGAGAGTTTTTTTTATATTCTTGTGCCTCATTTCATGCAAACGAATATATAGTTACGCAAAAAGGCTTAGGAATTCCAACAAGCTTACATATATGTATATGTATTCGGTAAGTTGTGTAGGCTGGGCTTATTTTACTAAACAATGGGAATCTGTTGAATTTAGGCAGAGAGTTGTATCTACTTTTTTGTTTTCCTTTTCATCTGCAAACATTCACTTACCTCAGTAGATGTTACATGTTTCCTTAATGTGATTTGCATGTAATTACAGTGGGAAGAAAGAAAAAAATAACGCTGACTGGCTGATGACTGTCTAAGATAATAGGCATTTCCTATTTATACTATCGCTTAGGGTAATTTACTGTAATAGAAAATATTGGCAACTTTCCTCTCATTTATTGTATGCATTTAAGAGTGGTCTTTGTAAATTCGACTGACATTTATTCCTTCAAGATGAATAATGACTTTGGACAATGTATTTATTAAACCGAATAATGACTAAAACGTAATCACATTACACTGTAAATGTCAGCAGTTTCAGACTCTAAGTAACTAGATCAATGTATGCCAATAAGCCAAACAGTAAGCACTCTGTTGACGTAATAGGTATTGAGGTTTGTTTTTATGTTCTGTTGGCAAAAATATGATATTAATGATTAGGTAAGTAAAACTACTTGATATGCAGTTTCAATTCCATCCCTTGGCAATATGATACATTTTAATAAGCATAATCTGCATCTCGGATAGTTTATCCAACATTCTTCATCTTTAGCTAAATGATGGCAGAATTAAAAGAGTTTTAGAGCAATAAGAATATCATATAGTTCAGGTTAAAAACAATCATATCGCAACGAAACTCATCAATCTTGTTTAGTAGCCAATGAGTCACAAACTTTGTGTAGGTACTAATGATTCTTTCATATTAGATTTGTTTATTTGATTTATAATACACAGTGATTGATAAAGTATTATTTAGAAGTAGTATTCATCATGGACTGACATCAGTTGGGGAACGATTGAAAATCTGGGAGCACTGGACAGCTGTTTCGTCCTAGCATGGGACTCCTCGGCAACATGCACCCACGACCCGGCCAGGGATGGAACTCAGGACCTTAAGGTTTCACGGCGAACGCGTTAACCATTCAGCCACTGAGTCGGTTTCTGGTGGTTCACAATTTCCAACTTCTGTTAATTCACGACAAAGCGCGACTATAAGATGGTTATGAGGAAGCTGGAATGAGAAGCCGTGACCTGTGGAGTCAACCAGTCGGATGCTAACTGAAGACCTTGGGTGACGGTTACGCTATGTCGTGAACTGCCAGAAGTTAGGAAATGTGAACCATTGGAAACCGACCCAGAATGGTTAACGCGTTCGCCGTGAAACCTTAAGGTCCTGAGTTCCATCCCTAGCCGGGTCGTGGGTGCATGTTGCCGAGGAGTCCCATGCTAGGACGAAACAGCTGTCCAGTGCTCCCAGATTTTCAATCGTTCCCCAACTGATGTCAGTCCATGATGAATACTACTTCTAAATAGTACTTTATCAATCACTGTGTATTATAAATCAAATAAACAAATCTAATATGAAAGAATCATTAGTACTTACACAAAGTTTGTGACTCATTGGCTACTAAACAAGATTGATGAGTTTCGTTGCGATATGATTGTTTTTAACCTGAAATATATGATATTGGTAGCCCTATCCCCTACCTTCCCTCTTTACCCGGGCTTAAGATCGGCTGGTAACTGATGAACTAGTTAACCAGTCGAGATTAAGCCAAGATATAAAATTAAGAAATTGAAGACCTACGAATATAGCCATTTGTCGTCATAATTTGAGAAAATCGCTTACGCTAGAAGGCGCAGTAAAGATGGTACATTACTGTGATTCGGAAACTAAAATGAAGATGAAATATAGATGTAACTATCCCACTTCCATACACCGTAATTCATGGATACTCGAGTCTATGACCAACGAGTATGGTTGTCACGCAGACTGGATCCTGAAAGTATGCGTTTCCTAACACACCTCACCTGAATAGTTAAAAACCTTTTATGCTGGCGTTACCTTTTATTCTGAGGGCTTTTATCTTTTCCAGAAAGCTGAAATTTCTTCAGATCTCTTGATACTCAGACGAACATACTGACTAGTTGTATGCAACACTTGTCATGTCAAGCAGTTGCAAACAACTGACAAAAGCTGTGAATCTATATTTTATTTTGTTGGAAGGACCTATTCAGACCATTAGGCCCTAGTTTTAACTCATAAGAGTTTACTAGCCTGAAATTTGAACGGTTTCTAATGGGACACAATGTCGATGCTGAGTACTTTGCTAGTTCAAATGTTGAGGTATTTCTGAAGTCAACTTTCAGTCTAACGGAAAAACCTGGTTTATAAGCCATAAAGTCTATTAGGATTATTAGTTTCAGGCATTAAATTACATCATTTAAACCCAGCCAGATATAGCTGTAGTCGGTGTACCAGCTAGGCTGCAGATTTCTTAATTTTATTCATGGCCATGTCTAAGGGTTTCATGACCTCTTCATATGGTCCTGTTTCGATATGCTCGTCAGTTTCATTGAAGTAGTCCAATTTTTCTATAACTACTGCTGAATTGCCTTTATCAGACCTAACAATTACTATATTATTGTCATTCCGTTGTCTCTTCTTTTGTCTTTTCAGCGTTAACGCACACTTTACTCTAACCTGCTCAGCAGTGACTGCATCCACCGAGCTTAACGCCACTTATATGCTACGCATAAAATCTTCCGGTTTTAGATGACTTATTGTCACGTTGACGTTTAGTGCTTTTTCCAGTACTTTCGTCCCAGCTGACCTTAGGCTTCTGTAGAAGTGATTGACTACCCATCATCGATATTTGATGATGTTTCATCTGTAATTTGATTAGTTTCCAAGGGGTATTTTTCTTGAATTAATTTTGTTGAGCTTTTTGATTTGACTGTTTCTGGATTTCTTGAAAGCAGCTGGTCCTGTTTTATCTGATGTTCATATAAGAAATTACTAGTCTCTTCTGTTTAATTTCTTCGTAAGTTTACATTCCCGTTATTTAGTTTTATTCTAGATAGTACTTAACTTCCTGATAATCCTGTGAGTTTATTCCTTGAGACAAAGTTTGCTGACATGTTCTATTGCTCCTTTGATTTTATCAGTAGATATTGAAATACGTAGACATACGTAGGTATTTAGGAATAATTTGATTTTCTCGCAACAAACATTGAAAATGTGATGATTCGTGAAACTTGCTTCAGTTTATCAAGGTCATGTGAATTTGTTGACCATTTTTTGGATAGGCTGTCCGAAGACAAGGTGGAGCCTATTGTTAACCATGAGGAAGGTGATATTCCCTCAGTGATTGATCTGTGTTACCAAGTACTGTTTCCATGCATGTTACTACTGAGTTATTTGGGCTGCATCACTCACTATTTAAAATGATAATTATGAATATGTGTTTTCAAAGCATTAAAGAATTTGCAGTCCTAAGTCCTGTTTTTCCAAATAGCATGGGAATTCTAGAATCTAATGTAGTAACGTTGGTTGGTCCTTATAACAAGAAAGCTGTGAGATTCATGAGTTCTTGACTTAATAACTGAATTTCTACTTGATCGTTCTTGTCCAATAAATTATGCTTTACATAAGGATTTCACCAAAGGTCAAACCAGTGTTTGAATTTGGGACTTTGTGGGGAAATAGTCATTTTTCAAGTTGGTATTCATCACAAACTGACATCATTTGGAGGAACACTGGAAATCCCGGGGCACCGGATAGATGTTTCATCCTAGTATAGGACTCAGCAGTGTGCACCCATGAAATCACCAGGGATCGAACTGAGGATCTTCAGGTTCTAGCACGTTAGCTAACACATTAACATTGAGCCACTGAGTCAGAATCCAATGGTCGATATCTCCAACTTTTGTCAGTTCATGACACATACCAAGGACAAAACAGCTGTCCAGTGCTCTCAGGTTTCGAATGTTCCTACAGCTGATGTCAGTCCATGATGAGTGTCAACCTGAACAATATGTAGGACACTAGAGGCAAACAGTTTGACATTTTGTAAACTAATTGTGAAAATTATGTTCATTACACATTATAACATTCATGATGCCTCAAACCGTTGTGATCGGTATAAAGTAAGTTGTTCTTGACTATGAAGAGTTTTGCTTTCCTCTTCTAAGCATAAAGATAAGTGAATAAAAGGCTGACAGAAATACGTGTAATAAAACCAACTAATTTTTGATGTTGAAGCTTATTTGTATGACTCTTATTTCGACCTTCGAAACCAAAAGCTTAATTCTCAACTAAATCAATAATTCTAGGAAGTCACCATGTGGAAATATAGATTTATATATATATTTTTAGATTCAAGTATTGGCAGTCTCATTTATTGTTGAAATAACATACTTTCGCTGGTTTTGGGCTTCAGATAAATTAGATAAATATAGCTGACCAATCAGATGAAAGTACGAAATGGGTTGGTCAAAAATCTTCTTCCCATTGGTTAGTTGGGTTAGTTGCCCAAAATAGTTGACTTCTAAACAAATCATATCTCCAGTTTGCCTACTCGTCATTTAGAAACACGCATACACACATCAACACATGCATACAGATATGCATAGAATTTCAGCTTGCATTCATGGTAAGCACAGTCGATTATTGTCAGCTAGCAATAAACTCAACTGATACTAACGAAGCCATTTGCCTACAGAGAAGGAAACAACAATTGTGTACTGTTTGAAAATTCTTTTGGTGGATTACAAATAACACCAAAATTATTTAAAAATAACACCTGTTTTTGGCATTGACTAAGGCAGGTGCACATATTATGTTTGCTTATACAAATTGAGAGACAATCGAGAGAATTACAGCTGTTTCCTCATCCTGACACAAAGGACTATTCTTCAATCAACCAAGGAATTATAAATAACTTTAATATAAAGCATCTTTTGACAACGAAACTCCAATTTGTTTTTCTGACATTTGTTTTGACTTTCTGATTAATATGGATTAAAACAGAAACAAGGGGAAGAATAAAGAAAATTTTACTCCTTATTCAAAAGCAGCTTTTATATTCTTGGGCGAAAATCTCCTCATATTAGGAAGTTAACTTCTGTTTACATAATGGATAATCATTACAGAAAGAAAAATAAGATAACGTCCAGTCCAGATGAACAGGTGATCATTACAGATAACAACAGTAACACTAGTAATAGGCATTTAGCAACAGCGTCTTCAACCATATCACCACCAAAATCAATAAAATCCAGAACAACTACACCAAGTAGTACTGGTCAACAGTCAATCAATTCAGCATCTTCTGTATCATCCAATATGACAACAACCACAGGAACAACAAGTAAGGATACTCAAAATATTGACAGTAATGTTAATAACAACGGCCAGTCTGAATCAAACAATCTTAGTTTCTCCTCTACAGATTCTGGTCGTAGTAGTATAAGCAGTAGTCAAACGAGTAACGGTGAAGAAGTTGGTGAAAACAGTTTCAATACAACAAAAGTCACAGTGCTAACAGTTTCAGATGTTGATACATTGAACTCAAGGTCAGATAACGATGATGATGATGATAACAACAACAGAAATAGCAAAAGTAATAGTGATAGTCACAATAATCATAATGATAGTTCACCGTCTGCATCAGCTGATTTAGACATCTATTCTGACGTTACTCTTATACCTAAATCGACTATTACAATAGATTTTACATTAAAAGCTAATAAAAAATCAACGAAACGTGTCAATGGACGTAAACCAATCAAAGGGATTAAATCAATACGACAAACTATCACTGGGACAAAACAAAACGATTTAGTAAGTTGAAGTTATTCATTCCGACGATTTCATTAACTAATATTTCTTTAATATTGATCTTGGTGACTCGCACAGGAATCCAAGATGAGAGTTTCTTCTTATTTGGGACTTGTCAGCTGGATGTACCTGTACCCCAGTAATTTTGTTCCCACAGAGGTTCGAACCCGGTACCCTTCCTTCAAACGCCAGATCGTTATCCACTAAACCAGTGGGACACGACAACCACTTTTTTTATATTTTCGCCATTTAAATAGTATCAAGTGATTTTGGTTCAGTTATAATTATACAGTTTCAACTGAAATCTGATAAGATATACAATGAAAAATTAAGTTTTTTTCAGTTTCAGAGTATTTATTTTGTAAAGATGTTTGGAAGTAGACTGCTGAAAAATTGACAGCTTTTGGGGGAGTTATTTTGTCCCGATTTAGGGCCAATAAAAATTACGCACGATATATTCCACGAACTATCAGATCCAAGATGTTAATGATTCCAGAGTGAGCATGTCAGCGTCCAGTGACTGTGTTGGAACTTAGTACTTTAGGCATCCAACTCATACAGTGATCTAATGATCCCTTTCTTGTTTACCATCGCGTAAGTTTAGTCAGCACTAAGCCATTTGTCTGAATAATTAACTTATCTCACTTCCCTCACTTTAATATTGTTTCTTTAGAGTTTGAAACAGAACTCCCATCTTTTTTTCGATAACTAAAGTCTTTTTTTCTTGGTATTCCATGTATTAAAATAATACTGGTTTGGGAAATGCCCGAACTAATTATTACTTGGTTGCCATGCAGCTATATATATGTATATATTTATATACATATGAAGCTGGTACGGCTTTGTAAAATCTACGACGTAGTTTACTCCCCACTGAATAGAACGCAGATATTTGACCATTCAGTTCCATTCTGCAGGTTGGCATTTCGGAAAATGCTAATTAATTAAAAGGGATTGGTGGTGACTGACTGTCGTCCTAGTAACAACACCATTTGAAAACTGGTCTGCTATTTGAAGACATCTTAAAAATGATGATTTTTATTACCAGACAGAAGATAGATTAAACATTTGAACCTATAACACCCAAAAGATACCACATGCATAAGAAATGACTGTTGAAACTCAGCAGCCTAGTTAATGGTGCTCCGGCTTTTGGAAAAATGGCTTCTGAGTTTTGAGTCTCTGTGGGAACAGCATAACTAGCTGAAAGGAAGATCCATTTAGCTGGCAAATCACAGATAGAACGAAATATATGTTCCAGATGCAATTTCTGATAACTAGCCATTAGTACTATTAAAAGTCTTTCTACCTTACTGGTTAACATCAGTATGCATTTGAAATCTCAATGCATGCCGTTATCATATAACAGAAACATCTTCAGAATGTTTCTAGAATGAGTTGATGTTGACCATCAGCAGATGGAACAAGAACATACTACCGTGTAGCTAGATCGGTGACCAAATGATAACCAGTCCATATAAATAATCTAGTCCTAAAGGAGGTTACTGATTTTTATAAATAGTTCAGTAGTCAGGTATCCAATTTCAGTGCAGAATGATGTTGACTGGATGCTTTCAGGGACACAAGTTTCCTTTTAACTACAGATATATCTTATTGATAAATGCCAGCAAACATGAAACCTTAATGGCCTACTACCGCTAGACTCGTGACAGCCTAGGGCGAAATAACATGTACTGATAGTTTGTATCATAGTGACCATGCTGCAAATTTGATTAGCAGAGTTCGGTCACTTTTGATCTCTAAGAATTTCTCAGCTTTGTCAGTTGCAATCCAGAAATCAATCCATATGACTTCAAGTAGATTCCATACGTCTTCAAGACAGTTATGTAGTAGTAATGAGTGTCGTAAATCAATTTTTTCACAAAGTTACTGACCTAATTTTCTGCTCATATTTACTTCTATAGTACTGGTTATCAAACAATACTACAATCTTTGAATCCCACAGGGTGAAGTTGGAAATACTATCTATCCTCAGTATGACACTTCAGATGAGCACAGGTATTTAAAAATTGTATTGTAGCAGTTTAGTGAAATAGAAAGTTGTAAGATGCTTCTGCAGACTCTCTCGATCAAAACCAGTGACTGCTTCCAGTTACGTTATCAGCATTACACGGTTGGCTTTAATTCAGTACACCGACTGAAATTTAGCATCATACGAATCACCTTTCCCTTGTGTTTGCTTTTAAAATGTTAGTACAGAAATTGTGAATATATACATGATTAGTTTATTTATCATAGTTCTGTATATAAGTCTGGTAACTGATAGAAACAAGATATACTTTAAAAAGTTTTATAACAGTACTTCAGCAACTCCTGTCAACAATGAATTCTCTCACGACGAAACATAATCTCTCTCCTATTTCATTCAAACATTAAATAGAAGAATTCAATTGATATGCTTAGTGATGTACAGAAAGGAAGGACCATTTACTGATAGATCAGACGTCAGCTTTTCGTTGGAATAATTCATTTCAACTAAATAAATGCAATCATATGTCTTTGCATCAGTCAGTCACTTGGTAGCAATATATGGAACCTGGCATTACTGCGCAACATTCTAAGTTGAGAAGCCTTAAATCTATACATTATGGTTGAGAGTAGCAAGGTGAGAGATAGAAAAAACACTGCTGAGAGTTATCGAAGGTAGAATAAAGTGGTGATCAATGATATACTGTTAGTTATTCTGACGGAAATAATGAGTAGAATTAAAGAGAAATATGCCGTCTGTCAAAATGTTAGATAAGTCAAACCGATGAACAAACCCGACGATCATTTCATTAGTGATCGCTGTGCTCTAATGCATTGAAATTAGAAAGCTTTAGCGTTTACATTCTTAGACTTCAATCTAATGACTCTGACATATTCTAAAGCTCATCAAAAACGGTATGATTACCCTTTAAAGTACATGAACTGGTCACTGAAGGGTAAGGAACTTCATGCTATCTAATAGCAAGTCAGAATCGAATTCTGTCCATCTCGTTTGCAGTTTGGTAACTAGGTTAGGAGACTCATCATCGCGTTATACTAAGATGGGCGTTAGTTCGATGAAGATATTCGGCAAGAAGCAATTGTAATCGATAAAGTTCCGTAAGCATTTGGGACTAAGAAACACAAAGTTGGTTACTCTTCATTAATCAGTCCATCTGCCTAACCAGTCGTATAAGAGGTCAGTCGCTACCCAAATAACTCAGTGCTACCGTTTCTGACTACAGAACTGGGTGACGCTGGTATGAATCTCAGGTGGGACTTCATTTCTGTCGAGGTTGGAAGTACTGCTTGGTGACGAGTGGAAAAAGCAAGAAACCTAGGTCAAGTAAGAATGCTACCATCCAACTTGTATTTACCCTTTCAAGTATTCAAAATGCATACAAGTGCTTTCAGAAAGGCATTCGTTAGTAGGTAAACCATTGAAAATCCGGCACCAATGAAAAGCTGTTCTGTCCCAAAATACAACTTTTCAGCTTAATTGTTGACGTTATGCACAAATGATTAGTCTTCAGCATTTCATATGTGTTGATACTAAAGTTCGTTGTGCAAAATACTCAAATTCTCGTGGTGCGAATCACTGTGAGCATAGTGTAAGTGAGAATTCGATCCGAAGTGGACTACTTTTAAATATACGAAGACAGACAGTGATCTCAATGAATTACTGATTTCACCAAATAAATGAGATAAACTTGAACAGAAGTTAGATGTTTTCCTAAGATTAATTCTAGACTTATTTTATTCATCAGAGGAAATACGTTCTTCTGGTTACTGTCCCATATCTATAAGAAGTGAAGCAAATCCCTGTTTGATTCACATAGATAAATTGTTTAACAACCGCCTAATATTCATTTCTAAACGGAAGTAACATACTACAAACTGCCTTGTCGTCAAGTCGATAGTAGTGTAGATATATCACTATAATTATGTCAACAAACCGACAGAAATGATTTATTTATCACATACACAAAGTGCACAAGCAAGCATATACTAGACATTGAAAAGTATTTAGCTACTAGTACAATATATATTCAAAGAGACAGTTACCCATGTAGGACAAACCTATTAACTGGCCAGATCAATATTCATTGAATATTTAATGTTTTTATACACGAGGTGATGAATTTAATCGTAATCAACTATGAAAACATGAAACAATTATACTAAATAAAATGAGTAGAAATTGTTGTTGGCTAGTCAGTATATTTTTAAGGTAGTATTCATCATCGACTGAGACCATTTGGAGAGACATTGAAAATCCGGGGTACTGGACAGCTATTTTGTCCTAGTCTGGGACTGCTAAGCAGTGCGTAACCTAAAAATCTTGAGTTCAACTTCTGGAGGATCGTGTATGCGTATTGCTGAAGAGTCCAATACTGGGAAGTAACAAGTATAAGGTGCCTCAGATTTTCAAAAGTCCTGCAAATGATGTCACCGCTGTAAAAATAAAATCCACACTAACCTAAGTATGAAATCGATGTATAAGTTGCTGAAAACGATTTCTGGCTTTATGATTTAACAAGTAAAAGTGAATGAAAGAGATAGTACACTTACATATACATAAAAAACTTATGTTATCCCGACCATGCATGCCTAACCACTTGTTGGTTAAAAAGAGACGGTTATTTGTTGTACTAAAAGCAGTTCCGATTGTATTTGAACATACTTTCGTTTTTTGCGCACTTCTGTTAAATTGAGAAGGATTTCATTGGATTGTGTGAGACTACGGCTTTTACCACCGACAAACTACTGAGTTCACTGATTACAGTTTTGATATTATTGCTGCTGTCAATACCGTAATTCTTGTAACTATAGTCAATAATCTTAATTCCATTTCTTTTGTTACTAACTCACTACACCACCACATACTAGACAGTGAAAATTTCTTCGTCGAAAACAGTTGAACATGTCTGTACACCGCGACCCATTCATTCTCACCATCCAGTGGTAACTACGACTTAAAGAATACTTTTGTTTAAAATGAAACAACTGTGAAA